TTGAAATGACTGATTTGGCTTGTGCGAAGATCTCGAGAGGGGCGCGCCCGCCTCAGGCCCTGCAGCTCCCTGGCCTCTGACTCCAGCCCGTCTCCTGGCCCGGTTTCGTTCCCTTCCTCTTGCTGCCTCGTCTCCCTCTAGCCTCAGCAGTTTTGTCCTATGCTGCCCCTTTTCCCAAAAAATGGCTATCTCAGTTCTGGGGGACACCAGGAGAGAGAAGCAGGTGGGGGATTTGAATGGGGACTTCCAAGGACAGGGCCAAGGCCCCGCCCTTACCCAGGGGCTCCAGTGTGCAAGGTGGGCAGCTCTGGGCAGGGCAAGGCTGAACCTGGAGGGCTCCAAGGGATCCCAACTGAAGCCGTTCGGCCTTCTCCTTGGCTGCCTGGCCCAGCCCTGGTGTGGCCACAACCCAGACACAGCAGCCACTGTCTGCCCAGCTATGGGGTGGGGCACCCGGGCCCAAGGCCTGCTCTGCGGCCTGTCAGGAGATTTACACCGACTCTTAACAACCTCGCGGAATTGCAGGCGGGTGCTGGGCCTGGGGTGGTCTGCTGTGAATCGGCCCCCTGTGAGCAGATGAAAGCTAGTCGGTGGCTGGGCAGGGAAACGGGCTGGCAGGGGGCCAGCGGGCAGGGAGGCAAGCAGCCTGGGGTTGATTAGGGGAACCCGGGAGGTCTGAGTTTAACCCCTTCCCTCCTGTTGGGTGGATCATGGGGGTCCTGGGGCAGGGGGAGAGGAACAGTTGCCTCTCCTTAACCTGGGTATCCCTTTGCCTCCCAACACCTGGAGCTGAGGACAAAATTATGGCAACTTTAGGACCCTCAAAGGCCCAGTGCAGGCTTAGAGTCACTGTCCCTGCCCATGCCTTCTTGAACCACCAGCAGCCACAATGGCTGTTGCTCCCTTCCTTCAGGCACCACTTCAGGAGACCTCCCCTGCCCCACCCCCTCTTCATCCCTCCCCCCAGCTTTGCTTTTCTCTGTAGGACTTCTCATTACCTGAAATCAAATTAGCTAATCATTTGCTTGCTTCATTTAGTCAACAAATATTTACTGAGCACCACCAAGTGCTCATGTCTATATTCCAGGATCCTTACCAGTGCCTAGGAAGGCAAAGGAAAAAGACCTTCTGCCCTGAAGAGCATATACCATAATGGGGGAGATGAAAAATAAGTGAAATAATGAATGAACTATATCATTCTTAGAGGATGGTAAGTGCTTGAGGTAAAATTTTAAGAGGAGTGGGGTGGCTGTGTGTGTGAAACAGGTATTGAGGGAAGAGCTCCCTGAAATGTTGGAGTTAAGACTTCAGGGTAGGAAGGAGTGAGCCATGCATCTGGGGATGTCTGGGGAGGAGTGTTACAGGTAGAGTAACAGCAGTGCAAAGGCCCTGAGGCAGGAGTGTGGCTGCCCAGTGTATCAGAGAAGAAGTCAGAGGGCTACCAGGCACAGACCAGTGTGGCCTTGTGGGCCATGGCGACCACAGAAACCCTGGTGGGGACCCAGGAGGGCCGGAGCCATTGTCAGGTTCACTGCAGTGACTGTGGCTTCTAAACAGTGCCTGACACATGACAGGTGGCCAGGAAAATACCTGTTAAGTTAATTTCATGTACACTTTGGGGAAGAAAGGGCCCATAGGCAAGATGCCAGAACTGCCCCCCTGCCTCAGGCAGGATTAAGAACCTGGGTCCTGCCCTTTCAGCTGCCAGCACCCAGTAGGCCTGGAAGACACGATTCCCAAACCCTGGTTCATGCCAGAACTGCCAGGCCCTGCATCGCCTCCTGCCTGTACACTGGATCCCACTCAGCCACCTGCTTTTTAACCAGCCCCCAGTGTCACCAGCACTGAGAACCTCAGAAACCAATGCCACACAGGCAGGAAGCCACCAAGGCAGCCTTCAAAGCCGGCCGGCCACCTGGCTGCAAGTCGACATGCTCCACAGGGCCCCAGAGGGGAACGGCCTGGCCACAGACCCCACAGCCAGGCCTCAGAGTTCTCAGGGTACCACTCCTCGGCTCCCAGGACTAGCCCCTATTCCCACCCTGCCCCATAGAAGCCTCAGCCCTCACATGGGGCGGGGGTCACAAAGCAGGAGAAGAGCCCAGACAGGAAACCCTGTGCTGAACTATGAGGGCTGTCGGGCCCCTCCTGTGGGCTGCACAGCTGTAAACTCATTTAATGTTCACAACTCCCAGAGCAGATGCTAATGTCACCCCTATTTTACAGATGTGCACGCCAAGGTGGGAAGCCCCTCCCAAGCCCCACTCCCCTGTGCCCCTCACTCCCCTGAGCCCCAGGCTGCAGCCCCTCGGTGCACCAAAGCTCACTCACGGGTAAGCGGCTTTGCCTCCTGGCCTGTCTGCTCCCAGGGTTGTTGAAGATCAATTAATGGGGACTTCGACCAGGACCTGGCAAACAGGGAGGGCTGGGTGACCAGCACCAGTTGAACTGGCCAGTTACCTCTTACATGTGGGGAAACAGAGGCCCAGAAAAGGCGGGGAATTTGTTCAAAGTCACAGCCTGAAGGCCAGGTTGGGGCTGGAACCCAGGGTGCTGGTGAGACCTGCCTGAAGGCCTGGGTCGGGGGCGTGGGCAGTGAATTTCTGCTAAAATTTTGTTCAAACTGAAGTTACTTGAAATGACTGATTTGGCTTGTGCGAAGATCTCGAGAGGGGCGCGCCCGCCTCAGGCCCTGCAGCTCCCTGGCCTCTGACTCCAGCCCGTCTCCTGGCCCGGTTTCGTTCCCTTCCTCTTGCTGCCTCGTCTCCCTCTAGCCTCAGCAGTTTTGTCCTATGCTGCCCCTTTTCCCAAAAAATGGCTATCTCAGTTCTGGGGGACACCAGGAGAGAGAAGCAGGTGGGGGATTTGAATGGGGACTTCCAAGGACAGGGCCAAGGCCCCGCCCTTACCCAGGGGCTCCAGTGTGCAAGGTGGGCAGCTCTGGGCAGGGCAAGGCTGAACCTGGAGGGCTCCAAGGGATCCCATGCATTGCCTCACCCCTCCCACCAAGCTCTGAGACCCCCGGCTCCCCTTCCTCTGCATGCTGGGTGCTCACTGCTTTGTGGGGTAGTTAAGTGCCTCCATCATACTGAGCCCGGCTGTGGCTCCCGTCCATCCTGATTCTGCCCCTGGACACTTAGGGTAGGATACCACCTCCTTCAACAGAACTGTATACCTCTATTACCATGGCCTGGGTTTCTTAGCAGATCTCCTGGTGATCAAAAAAATTCACCTGGACTAATGGTGGTGGGGGGTATATTCGGGGGAGAAGGGGTGGGTGCCCGGATAACAGAACATCATGGATCCAGTGACTCACATGGACCCTCCCTCTGCTATAGCCAGATGCTGTCCACATGCTGTCACTGATCTCCAGGCCTGCGGGGTGGGTGGCATCATCCCGCTTCCTGGCGCAGGGAGCTGAGGCTCAGAGAAGTCAGCAATGTGTCCAAGGCCAACCAGCTAGGCAAGCTGGCTCGGGATCTGCCCTCCGCACCAGATTGGGGCAGGTGTCCTGTGGCTCACACAGGCTCCCCAGAAATCATCACCTCAGGACTCTTGGTGCCATCAGGGTCACAGATGACCCTGAGGTCAAATGAGACACATGCCTTGTTCAGGGCCACAAAGCCCAAGGCCAGGGGCCTGGACCTTTCCACCTCAGTCCTAGCAGGAATTTGGCCAGAGCAAGCGCTGGCTGGGAGGGGCTGGTGCCCATGCCCAGGAGCTCAGGCCAGAGGAGGTGGCCCTGAAAGGCCTGAAGGGAAACCCAGGCCCAGCTCTGAGTCTTTCCCAAGTAGCAGACACTGGAGTGGGCCCAGGAATTGAACACATGGGGTGCCAGGTCAGGAGGGGCCAGCCCAGGGCCAGGCCTGGGTGGCCCTCACTGATGACGCCGTGCCTCCTGGGCACTGGACGGACCAGAAGCTTGTCTTCCTGCCCCAGGCCCACTTAGCCCAGCGTCTAAATAGAAGGTGTCTCTGGGAAGACAGGGAGCCTCCCTAAACTAAGACAGAGTGAGGCTTTGGCCAGTTTCTCAGTGTCCCCAGGTCTGGATTCTCTCCTCACTGGAACTGGAGTAACCCTTTAGCTGTTCTGTCATTAGGATCCCAGGAGACAATAGAGGTGAGGTTTTCTAAACTGCAAAGGGCTGCAGTTACAAAGAGGACACGGCAGCTTTCAACATGCCAAGATGAATATGTCACAGGTTGGGGGGCATCCCAGGCAAGCAGCCACCCAGAGATGGCCAGCTAGTTCTTGGTTTCATTCATTCATGCACTTGTTCCTTCAGTGAACACAGGCCTCTGGCCCACTCCGTGGCAGCTGCCTCTCCAGTTTCCCCAATCCTAATCTGCAAAACCCAGGCCCTTCAGTGGGCAGACACAATTAAACACAAACTCTCTTCGATGCTAAATGCACAAATCAGTGCTCCCTGCACATAGCAGGTACTCAATAAATATTTGCAGAATCAAATTTGCATTCTTGATCTCAAAGAGTGGGTCCTGGGGTTGGAGTGCCTGGGCTCTGTGGGACCTAAGTCACATACTGAGATTCAAAGAGTTTCCACGGAGATTTGCCCCACAGCCGGGCCAGCTTCTGTTTTCTGATGGCTCCCTCCTCTGCCACTGGCAGAAGCAGCTGGGGTGGATAGAGACAACTTGGCCCAATCTCCACCCTCCAACCCCCAACACCCTATCAGAAGCCTTTTCCATCCTTTTCCTTTCCTTAACTGATGCAAATCCATACCCCCAGCCAGCCCTCACTGGGGAGGGGGTCAAGCTGCTTCTGCCATCTCCCACCTCTGCAGTGCAGTCTCGGGCTAAGCCCGAGGGTTTAGGGCTTTGCTGGCAAGCACACTGCATGGTGGGATGTGGAACAGAGGACTGCAGTGCCCCACAGGAATAATCCCAGGACCCTGTGCCATCCGGCTGACCTAGCTCAGCTGCTACCCTTTCCTGATGGACCCTCCTCCCTGGCCCAGGGGGCTCAGTTGCTTTGGCACTTACGTCTGGGCTCCCGGGGTCCATCCACAGTCACCTTGATTGCTCGGTGGTAAGTGGCCACTTGGGTGGGGTTGGTGAACACGGTGATGGTCAGTGTGAAACTCTTTCCTGGGGGGAGTGGGAATAAAGGCAGGAGGTTGGCACCTGGAGCCATTCATAGTACCCTGGCCTCCCGCCTTGAGTGCCATCCCTGGGAGCCCTTAACCTTCCAGAAGGCACAGGTCTCTCCCCTTTGAATCTGGGCAGAAGATGGGGCTCTAGGTGAAGGTCAAACTGCTGGTGTTGGCATTCAAAGCTCCAGGAGGTCTTGCACCAACAGCACCACTGTCCCGTGCCCCATGCTCTGCCCCCTGGCTTATTCCCTCTGTTTCTTGGTCTTGGTTTATGCTGTTCCTTCTTTCCAGAGACCCTCACGGTGTTGGAGTAGGGAGTAAGGATGGATACATATATTTTTTGAAAGTAATTATGATCGGTATAGAAAACTTAGAGAGCACAGAAAATATAAAAAGGAGAAAATCACCCACAGTTCCACTAGCCAGAGATAAACACTGTTAACATTTGGTTGTTTTCTCCTCCAGTCCAGTCCTTTTTCCTTGGCATATGTATTTATGCAAATTGCAGTGATATTAAAATACATCATTTTACTTCTTGTTTTCTTTCATTTAACATCACATCATAAGCACTTTCCCATGTCATTAAAAATTCTTCATAAGCTTCATTTTTAATGGCTGCAAAATATTTCAACTCACAGAAGCTTCATTTTTTATTTATCCATCTCCTTCCTCTCAGGTTTATGTTGCAGCTAATTTCTTATTGGTGTGTGCTGCCCGGGCTGCGAAAGGGCTCATTTGGGAGCTGCAGACATTTCATTTGTAGACACAACTGTTATTTCCAGAACTCTGCTCTATTTTTAGATAGACATTTGGCTCCAAAGTCTCCATTCAAAATTCCTGAGAGGGGAAAAAACTTCTAAAATAATAATTTATTTTTTTTGCTATTTAAATAGAACAACCTTCTGTTTATAAAAATCTTTGTCTACATCTCTGCTTATTTCCTCAGAAGAGATTCCAAGAAATGGTGCGTGATTTCATCGCATCAGAGGGTTGCAACGTGTTTAGGGACACCGATCTTTCTTGCGAGGTGGAGACAGTCGTCCTGATCCCTGCAGGCTGCGTCCATCAGCATCACGACTGTGCCTATCAAGGTGGAAGAGCTCTTAAATGCTCCTGACGTCACTTGCCTTTCTTCTATTACTAGTGAGATTGAAAGTTTTTAATGTTTATTATCTGTCCTTATTATCTGAGCAAATCATGACCTAGCTCAGCTGCTACCCTTTCCTGATGGACCCTCCTCCCTGGCCCAGGGGGCTCAGTTGCTTTGGCACTTACGTCTGGGCTCCCGGGGTCCATCCACAGTCACCTTGATTGCTCGGTGGTAAGTGGCCACTTGGGTGGGGTTGGTGAACACGGTGATGGTCAGTGTGAAACTCTTTCCTGGGGGGAGTGGGAATAAAGGCAGGAGGTTGGCACCTGGAGCCATTCATAGTACCCTGGCCTCCCGCCTTGAGTGCCATCCCTGGGAGCCCTTAACCTTCCAGAAGGCACAGGTCTCTCCCCTTTGAATCTGGGCAGAAGATGGGGCTCTAGGTGAAGGTCAAACTGCTGGTGTTGGCATTCAAAGCTCCAGGAGGTCTTGCACCAACAGCACCACTGTCCCGTGCCCCATGCTCTGCCCCCTGGCTTATTCCCTCTGTTTCTTGGTCTTGGTTTATGCTGTTCCTTCTTTCCAGAGACCCTCACGGTGTTGGAGTAGGGAGTAAGGATGGATACATATATTTTTTGAAAGTAATTATGATCGGTATAGAAAACTTAGAGAGCACAGAAAATATAAAAAGGAGAAAATCACCCACAGTTCCACTAGCCAGAGATAAACACTGTTAACATTTGGTTGTTTTCTCCTCCAGTCCAGTCCTTTTTCCTTGGCATATGTATTTATGCAAATTGCAGTGATATTAAAATACATCATTTTACTTCTTGTTTTCTTTCATTTAACATCACATCATAAGCACTTTCCCATGTCATTAAAAATTCTTCATAAGCTTCATTTTTAATGGCTGCAAAATATTTCAACTCACAGAAGCTTCATTTTTTATTTATCCATCTCCTTCCTCTCAGGTTTATGTTGCAGCTAATTTCTTATTGGTGTGTGCTGCCCGGGCTGCGAAAGGGCTCATTTGGGAGCTGCAGACATTTCATTTGTAGACACAACTGTTATTTCCAGAACTCTGCTCTATTTTTAGATAGACATTTGGCTCCAAAGTCTCCATTCAAAATTCCTGAGAGGGGAAAAAACTTCTAAAATAATAATTTATTTTTTTTGCTATTTAAATAGAACAACCTTCTGTTTATAAAAATCTTTGTCTACATCTCTGCTTATTTCCTCAGAAGAGATTCCAAGAAATGGTGCGTGATTTCATCGCATCAGAGGGTTGCAACGTGTTTAGGGACACCGATCTTTCTTGCGAGGTGGAGACAGTCGTCCTGATCCCTGCAGGCTGCGTCCATCAGCATCACGACTGTGCCTATCAAGGTGGAAGAGCTCTTAAATGCTCCTGACGTCACTTGCCTTTCTTCTATTACTAGTGAGATTGAAAGTTTTTAATGTTTATTATCTGTCCTTATTATCTGAGCAAATCATTGCTTCGGGTTCTTTTATACTTTCCTTTTAGGGTTTTGGTGCCTTTATAAATCACTCCGTAGTATGCTTGTTAACACTTTTCATGCCCTGTTAGTCTCCCAGTTCACTGGCCTTTACATTGCCCTTTCTGATAAGATCCGTTTTGCATTTTCAGCTCCACCTCTAGTCCATGATTTCTCCTATCATTTTTTCCCCTGTGTAAACAAAGCTTTGCCCCATGAAAGGTTTGCCTTCAATAAACAGTGTTCTCTCTACTTTCTGTACTGAATTCTTTGATTCTGCTGGAGATTTACTGGTTGGTAGCAGGGAAGGATTTTCCTCTAAGGGCAACCCAATTTGCCCAGCGCCTTCACTGCAATAGGAGCCCCCCTCCTGCCCTATTCTCTGTTATCACCAAAGCCTCCAAACTGACTGAGACTGGGGAGGATGTTGGGGGGCCTCATTGATCCCCTGAGTCAAACCTGGCCTCTGCCTCTGAGCACCTCTATCTATGGACCCAGTTTTAGACTCGGGGACTCTGCGAGGGCAGGGGCCAGTGGCCAGTACACCTGTGTCCCCCAGGGCGGGCACAAAGGAGGCTGCCCTAGCAGACCCCTCTGGGTCCACTCGCACTCCCAACTACTCCCCAAGTCAGGCAGGCAAGCCTTGACAATCCCACTTCATAGGTGGGGATGGAAGCTCAGGGTGGGAACTGCCAGCTCACAGTTTGCTTGGCTGGGAACTGGTTGATCCAGTGACCAAGTGACAACTCTAGCCCCAGAAACTAGATAATCTAGAACAAAAGCAAACTAGGCAGGTTTACTGGGGCCACACTAAGGAACCCAAGGGCTTCTGAGATACCAGGGGGTGGTTTAAACTGAGGTATGACTCAAACTGGGCAAGAGTAGGGCTTCTCTGGAGGAATTTTCCTGAGCTACTGGCTGGAGGCAGGGAAGGAAATGTAAACTGCCCCTGCCCCTGGAGTTCTGGGTAGGAACCAATCTGGCCTCTCACTCTCAGACCACAGGGGCACTTCCCATGGCTTCTGGAAACAGGAAGCGCAGAAGGCCTAGGGAAATGCCAGGCAGGTGGCCTCAGGCTCCCTGCCCACTCCCTTCCAGGATCTGCCTTCCCTCCTACTGCTTTCCCTCACTCTGAGGCCATTCCCCTCCTGAACCAGTTGGGCATTCTCCAGGGGTCCCTGGTCTCTGACCTTCCATCACCTCTTTGGTGCTGCGGGGTGCCATGCCTATGGGGAGTTTAGGTGGACAGCCCAGAGCCAGAGCAGCCAGCTCCCAACATTGAGGTCAGATGGGCCCCCAGCCCCTGCGGCAGTGGGCCTGGCCCACAGCCATACTTGCCAGTTCACTGAAGTTCTCCTGTTTCTCCCCTTACTCCCTTTAGGTCTTCACTAAGAAGTCACCTAAGCTTAGTGAGGTCACTTTATCTAAAGCAGGCATTTTCCACTTGGCATTCGTGGCTCCTGCTCAGAATTAAGTGGGCCTGTGAACTGGGATAGGAAAAAAACGACAACTGCATTGTCCCCAACCTCTAGCTGAAATCTAACATCTCTCTCAAGCAGGAACGTAGGCAACAAACCACAGAGGTATTACAGTGAGTGACCTTGCCACCAACGGACGTCACAGATATTTACATATCACATTGCAGAGTTCTCTAAATATCTTTTAGGCTCAAAATCATGGTCATCATCAGATCCGCAGCTTGATCTTATTATTTAGTACAGTAACAAAGCAGCTTGTTTATCACAATAAAAAAAACCATTTGCTATGTTTTAATATAATTGGTTTCTATTGCAATCCTTTATATTGTTTTATTTTTAAAAAAACATTCTTCTGAGACTACAAAAGGGGTCCATGGGGTGAACAAAGGTTAGGAAACTCAATCTGAAGCCTCATAAACCCTCTGGCTCCCACTCTACCTGCTTGAATTTCCCCATAATGCTTATTGCTTCTAATAATCCATTTACTTACTTATTTTATTTTGTTCTCCCCATACTAGATTGTAAACTCCTCAGGGGCCAGAATTTTTGTCTTGCTCACTGTTGTGTCTCCAGCCCCCAGGACAGCATCTAGCACATAGTAGGTGTTCAATAAATGTTTGCTAAAGGAATTAAGGGGAGGGATCACTGCTCCCACTTTACAGAGGAGAAAACTGACACTCAGAGGGGCAATAAGTTGATCAGGTCACACAGCATCCAGGCAGGGTCAGAAAGGTTAGATGGGCTGGAGCCTGTCCCTCCACAGACACTAAGGACCTCCTCCTGGGGAGGGAAAAGCCCCCACATCTGCCAGGCAGCAAACCACAGGCCATCCTGAGGTCACCAGCCCTCCTCAAACAGCTTCCTCCCAGTTCACAGGCCTGGCACCACGCTTCCCAGGTACCCACAGAGAGAAGGGAGGGTGAGGGAGGAAGGGAGGGGCTGGGACCTGGGGGCAGGAGTAGAGGGGAGGGGTGGGTGTCAGGCACCACAGGAGGCAGGCACTGGGAGGAGCCAGGATGGGAGGGAAGCTGTCTCCCAGAGTGCCCCTAACCTCTCTGCCTGGTGGCAAACCCACACATCCATTCTCTCCCCTTCTTAGAGCAGGAAGCAGAGAAGACAAAAGAGGTGGATGATTTTGTGCAGGAACCCAGGCAAACTTGCTATGAGCCAGGAGTCCAGGTATTGCAGAACAAGGCACTCCAAGGGCTGGTCCCAGTGGGAGGAGAAGAAATCCTAGTCTGGGAATAGCTCCCCCTTGGGGCTCTCAGGGGCCCCACGCATTCCTGCAGGACCCGGGGCCCTGGACCAATGAGCATATACAGCCAGGCTGGCAGTGTGACCTTGGGCAAGTCCTTGTCCCTGGGAGCCTGGGTTCCTGTGTGATAAGCCCCAACCACAGAGGCTTCATGAAGGGAGGGAGGGGACACATCTCAGAGGACCTCTGGGTTTTCTCAACATCGGCCAAGACACCATCTATCTCATCCCCAACCCGTGGGCCCCTAAGCCTGCACTCTCACATCTCATTCGAAATCTTTCTCCACATATACAGATTCTTTTTAACCGGTTAATGACTGTTCAGGAATTCATGCTCTTTTCATTTTCACCTAGGTCCATCGCCGCCTCCTAGAGGGCATTTTGGGGATTTGTGGTATATGTGGTCCTCAAAAGGTGGGATGTAGGGGGTGGGGGGATGTGAATGTCCAGCACTGCATAGGGCAATGAAGTATTCATTTTTCCTGTGTATGAGAAACTTGCTTATGAATATTCTCTGAGCTATGAGTCTAACGCAATTTTATATAAAAGGATGCAAGTTTTTATGCACTTTTAATATCTACTGAATTTTCCAGAAGGGAAGACAGTTCTTTTTATTTTTTTTAAACTTTTTTCAGAGCTTTGCCAATACCTGTTCACAACTTCAGAAAATCGTGTCATTGACACAATGCTGCGTTCACGCTCTGAGTCATGCACACCTCGCCGGTCTGGCCTTCATGGCAGTCGTGGGGCTTCTGCTAGAGCTGCAAGCCTCTGCCCCCCTCACAGTGTAGTCTCCCCGCAACATTTACATAATTATTATAAATTACTCTCCCTTTCTCCCCCATTATAGCTATAGAATTATACAGATTTTGAAACTGTAAGTAGACAGGTTACATCATCTACATATTTCATTGTAAGATGGTAAAGGACATGTTACGAAATAGTTGTTGCAGGCAGGGGTGCTGAGTGTGGCAGTGTGGGAACCTCAGCCCCAGTCACTGCAGGAGACACCAGTGGCTTGGTTTCCTTCCCTTCCTTTCCTTGCTTCACACCTCTGACTTATTGTGGGGATGCTTTGGTGGTGGTGTGTGTACATCTTTCACAGAAAGCTATGTTCCTAGGATTAACACAAAATCAGGGACTAAAAAGAAAACAGAAGATTCCACCCAGTTGAACAGTCCTGGCAGAAGTCAGAAAGCCAGGGAAAGGCCTGGGTCCCAAACCCCCACCTGTGCCAACTCCTAAAGTGGCCCAAACTATGTTTGTCAATCACTGATTTGTTCTCGCCGAGGGAATTTCCCAGTGGGCAGGGTGGGAACAGCAGATGCGTTGCTGCATGTCACAGGACCCCTGCACCCTCCTTCCTCACGGCCAGCCACCTCCACTTATCCCACTCAACAGTTCACACCTTCTGGGTTTCCCCCACCCCCGCCCAAACCACACCATAATCACAGAATCAGTGACTGTCACCACTCAAAGGGACTTCAAAGATCTCCTCCGGTCCCAGGCACATTCAGTAACAAAAGCTCTAGCATGTATCCAGCTCTCAATATGTGCCAACTGGTATACAAGTAATTTCCTTGTACCAATCCTTACAAAATCCCATGAGGTAGGTACATTATCCCCACTTTACAGATGAGGAAACTGAGGCACAGAGTAGTTAAGCCATTTGCCCAATGTTATCCAGCAAGTCAATGACAGAGCTGGGGCTGAAATCCAAGTTGGCTGGTGACAGAGCCCAGGCTGTTTAATACGATGAGGCGCAAAGGTCTGAAAGTTTTGTTGAGTCCACAGGCATTGGAATTCCCACTCAGGTCTTTTCCTGCCTCCTGGGACAACACAGACCGGTGAGAGAATGGCTGTGAGAATGTTTTGTAAACTCAGCCTCCTGCAATCTCCCAGAGCCACATCCCAGCCTTAGCCATGTCTGCTCCAAGAGCATTCTGCTCAACAGTGTTTTGGAAACCCATCTCTTTCCCTGCAGGCTTGTGGGGTAGGCACAGATCTGTAGGTATAAATACCACAAAACCATTTTCAGGGGCAGAATGGCCAGACAAGGTAACTTAGAGAATCACCATCTCTTCCCTTTTCTACGTTTTACTTCCCAGGAAAGGGAGTAGGATGTCTTGCTCGAGTCCCAGGACAGACCTCCCCTCTGCCTGCCACACAGTGGGCCTCCCCGCCCCTCACTGCTACCTGGGCTGGCAGACGCAGCCACCGCCCCATAATCCAGCGGCATCCGAGGGAGCCACCACTGACTGCAGGCAAATGACTTTCTACTCAGAGCTGGGACTGGGATTAAGTTGCAAAAGGCTTGAGAGATTGGGGATGACAAAAGGGGCTTGGAGACTAATTAGGAGCAGCAATGAAAGCTTAATTCATAAAAGCAAACATTTTCCATCCATCAACCTGCAACCAGTTAAGGGCAACGTTTGAAAGAAATCTGTGCGTGGGGAAGGGAGCCAACAGGAACAGGAAATGTTTGAAAGAATGTAAACTATTTCGGTTTCATAAAAAGTAACAAGTAAACAGTTATTACATGCAAATAATGCCCTGGTTTTAATTAATGCTGAAAAGTCAAAATATGTTTGACATTTGTATGTATACACTGAACGGTTGGAGAGGAAAAAATGGTGCCCAGATGCCCGTTTCCAAGTCGGGCTGGCGGCTCAGAGGGAACTAAAACCTTGAGAAGGTTTTGTTTATTGGTGATGAAAAGTACAATTCTGCCTCAGCCTCTGTCGAGACTGGGAGCAGAGGAAACCTAGCTTACTTTCTGAACAAAGCTGGAGGGGCAGAGTGGGTGTTTGGGAAGGGCACTCCCCACCTTTCAGTAGGCTAGTCTTAAAGGGCCAGCAAGCCCTCAATTCTTCATTTTGCAGGGCTGGGTTTCAATGACTTCTCTACTCAGAGATGATGCTATGTTTCAGGTCCCAGCAGCTTCCCACTCAACAGCCCCTCGCAGCCGCCACATTAGCCTCTGGTCCTGCCTTCCTTCACACCGCCCAAGATAGATCAGATGGGCAGGGTGGCATACTAGCCTTGATTCTGAGGTGGGAGATGGCAGCCTTCAAGCTGTGCTTTCCAATGTTCAGTATCCTGCACTGCATTCATATCTTTCTTAAACCACTTTAAGGTGAAAGGGCTGGGGAAACTGGACGCAGGAGACCACAGCTGGGGAGAAGCAGCCCCAGTGGGGAGAATGGCTGGGGTGCTCAGCACCATAATCCAAGGATTTGCCTAAACCAGCCTCTAAGCCTGCCTACTGAAAAAGACCCACGAGGCCCCTTTTTGAACTTGTTAATCCACGATCTCCTCCCAGCACCTTTTGTGAGACCAGGTCGCCTAATCAGGAACAAGGGAAGACACGGAAGGCTTCAGGAATTAGTAAACCCCAGAAACGGAGACAAAATTGCCTTTTTATGGCTAAAGAACCTTAACTCTTCTAGCATCCTCAAAGGAGTCTGTAACACTTTAAGGGTTTCCAAACCGCTGTTTTAGACAGAGCTGGGCCTGGAGACATGTTTCTGGGGCTCCCAGTGAGAACCCAAAGCCTCGCTCGCAGGTTCCTTCCCCCCACCTCTTCCATGGCCAGTGTCGGCTGGCGTGGTCTCCCTTCCGCTCACCTCGCCCACTGCGGCCCACGAAGCGAAGGTCATTGAACCTGGCCACCTGGTTCTTCATGACGGCGGAGGCGTTACGCAGCTCAGCGGAGTAGTTCTCATCGTTGCCTGCCATCACAGTCACCACCGTTCCATCCGGCACATCCCCCAGCGCCACCACCTGAGGGCATGGGGGCAGGGGGACACCTTAGAAAGGTACAGAGGAGACAAGGGAAAGGCCGGGAGGGGCTGGGCCCTGCATCTCCCCTAGGTCCTGGGTGCACTGCGGGAATTCTCAAATGCAGGGTGGAGAAAAGGAGAAAAGGCTTCAAAACAATAGAGACCTTCCCCCAAATAAAACAAAAACAAGACAAAATCTCTCCTTTCCATACCAAATCCCTAGATCAACTGGTTAAGCCTTGTCCTGAGAAATTATCCTTTCAATTAGATCTAAGCAAGAGCTGTGGATAAGCTCAGTCACCATGGTGTGGGGTGCAGTTCCCCTCTTCCCTTCGGCTTGAGCAAAAGAGGAATCAACATTCTCCTAGCAACCCAGTCTCTAAGTAAAAATAATATCAACAACAATAACAACAGGTCTGCTCCCCACACTCAATTAATGCAAGAGCCATTCGGGGTATGAAATTTGGCCCTGAAATGTGGCCCAGGCCCAGTCTATCGGCCTTTGCAGAGCCTGAATTCGTTATGCGGGGAAAATGCAAAATGCAAAACAAACTGCTGTTTTGAGAGGGTTTGTACAGAAAACCCCTTTAAAGTGAGAGAGGGGCTTTTCATAGTAGGAGGATGCACCTGCTGGGAAGTGCAGGATGGGGTTGGAGATGCCCCCTAATACCGTCTCCCCACCCCCACACCCCAAGAAGGATGGAGAGGCAGATGCCTCTTGAAAAGGAATCAGACTGCAAACGCAGTCACAGCCATTTAAACGTGGTCACCGCGTGCAGAGACTAGGGAACCAGATGGTAAAAATTTCAAGGAGAAAATGTTTGGGGTCTGATTAAAAAGGCCAGATTTCCTGTCAACATCCTGTCTTCTTTTAATTTCAAAGATTCCTTTTAAGCTCCAAGTGACAGTAAAACCTCCGATCTGAGGATTAAAGTCACACGGGCCTCCCCCGCCCCCTCCACCCCTGGAGATTTTCCCCACTGGTATTTTAAGATGTCACCCGGGAGACCTCCAAGAGCCACTCATCCTTTTTTCCAATTTGGAACCGTCTTAATGGGAGCAAGGGCGGCCTCAGCTGCCAGGAGCCTTGTTTCCACCTCGGGCACCCGCCACCCCCAGCCGCTGGCCCTTCCTGCCCTGCCCTTTCTCACGGCAGCTGTGAGAGGTTTAGGGGAAAACCAAGGCGTTTTCGTTTCATCTCGTTGCCCCCTTAAAAAAAATGAAAATGAAACAGTCGCCTACTCCCTGGCAAAGAAAAGCAGATCCTCTGAATGACTGGGGGCTGCCAGGCTGGGGGCGACCCCAATCTCTGCCTGATATTCGGGATCCCAGCCGCAACCGTTTAGGTTGGGATCAGTGTCCTCTATCCTGGCCTGAGTCGCCCGGTGTAAAATTTCAGAAGCCAGAGGTTGAGTGTGAGCAGGAAGTGCTTCTGAAGCAGTGCAGAAGGAGGGGTGCTGGCAGTGGAGCGTAGGCCCTATCCATCCTCTGCGCCCCACCTCCGGTGTCCTCGCCCTGGTCCCGGGGCTCCTCTTCCCCGTTGCCCGAAGGACTGTGTCCGAGAGGTCCGGGTTGTGGGAGGAGGTAATCCCCATCGCCCTTTTCTGCATCACCGTCTTCCGCAGGGCTCCCCGAAGGTGGAGGGGGCAGCCCCCTTAAAAGTCATCCGTGCCCGGTGCATCGAAGAGTGAACGCCGAAGTCCCCGGGCGGCGCGCGCAGCGAGACCGAAAGCACCCTTGGGCCGGCTGCAGGGTTCTCGCTGCGGGGTAACGGATATGTCCCATCCAGTCCCCTCCCTTCCCGGGGTCCTGGCTCCTGCAGCTGAGATGCCCGGAGCCCCAGGGCCGGTGTCCTCCCCGCCCCCCAGGCCCCGCACTCACCTTGAACGCGACGGGCAGTGTCTTGTTGCAGCGCCAGTGCGAGGGCAGCACGGAGCAGAGGAAGTTGGGGCTGTCGGTGCGCACGAGCTCGCCCGCGTGGTCCGCCAACACGTCCACCATCGAGCGCACCTCGGGCCTGGAGCGCCCGCCCGGCCCCACGGCTGCCTGGGCGCCCAGCGCGCCGCTGTTCTCGCCCATTTTGCCTCCGCCGCCGCCGCCGCCGCCGCCGCCGCCGCAGGGGAAGGCCGTGGAGGGAGGTGTGAAGCGGCGGCTGGTGCTCGGGTCTACAGGAATACGCATAACAGCGGCCGTCAGGGCGCCGGGCGGGCGGCGGAGGCGCGGCTCCCCCGGGGACGGGCGGCGCGGGCGCCTTCTCGGCCGCCGCTGCCGCGAGAAGCGGGAAAGCAGAAGCAGACGCGCCGGGGCCTCAGGGCGCAGGGGGCGGCGCCCGGGGACGTCCCGCCGGGGCCCGCCCGCAGGGAGGCCTCGCTGCCCCGACGGCCCCGCGCAGCCTGCCCGCTAGCCCCGCATCCTGGGCGCGCGGCCCGTGTGCGGCCGCCCTCGCGGCGGTCCCGGCTGCCTCAACTGCGGCGGGGCCCGCGCCAAGGCCGCCTCCTCCCGCCCCCGCAGTCCGCTCGCGGCCGCCCCACCGACTGTACGGCCGCAGCCCCAGAACAAATCCTCGAGAATCAAGTGGCGGCGCCGCGGCCGCCCGCGCGGGGTTAGTACCCCGGGGCCCGCGAGGGCGGGGCCCGGCCGAGCGACGCGTCGCGCAGCCAATCGGAGCCCCCATCTCCGGCACCTCGGCGGCGCTCGCGGGGGAGGAACGGGGACCGCCGAAGGCCGCCCGACCAGGAGGGGCGGAAGGCCCCGCCCCGCGGAGGACGCCTGGGTCCGGGGCCCCAGCGCTTTAGCTCAAGGCTCCTCAAGAGCTCTGGGGAACCCCAGCCGATGCTAGAAATCCGTTTAAATTGTGCGGGCCCTCGGAAGGCTCATTAGCCGCTGCCTCCGGGCCGCGTCTCCCTCCTGCGGGGGGCTGCGGCTCCCTTTCTCTCCGCCTTCCCCGCTGCCCGCGGCCGAGCCTCCCCAGCTCCAGCCGCTTTTGACCTGTAATACGTGCACCTTAAGCAAGAGGCGGCGGGGGTCCCAAGGCCGGTGACATTGAACAGCAAGATGCCCCAAAGAGGCTTCTCACCCCATCCCACTCCGCGCCCCGCACCCCGCACTTTATTTTGACCCAAGAGCCTCCACGAATGTGAGATCGCCCGCGCGCCAGCGGCCTCTGCAGTGCTCGGCCCTGCGCGCCTTTGGTCCCGGCGTCGGCGGCCCCGGTGCCAACCTCGGGGAAAGAGGGAAGTGTTCCCCACGCACCCGCATCCAGCTTTGGGGCACCTAATTCTGTTCCTCTCCGTTCCCCCCTCAAAACAACTGTCGGTATCGTACAGGCCTGGCCGCGTCGTTCTTCGTTGTGGCGGCCTGTGGCTCTTTGAAAGACACCATGGGACCCCGAAAAACGCGAGTGTTTCCCCCTGATTTTTCCCCAGCGCATGTAACCACGGTCCAGCATCGTGAAAGAGGACTGGAGTCCGTGGCGATAAGAAAACTGCGGAGAACTCGAAAATGTCCGCAAAGCTAAGGGCCCCGGCTTCCAAAGAAAGGAATTCTCTCCTTCTTCCGAATGCAAACTGACCCCCGCGGGTCCAAGCCCGCGTCTTGCCAGGCAGTGTGTCCGGCTGCGCCATAGGGACGCAGACAGCTCTGCCCAGGCACTGTCGTCCTGGGTCCTCGCTCCCATTCGCGACCGCACGGCCCAAACACTCCTGGGGCTTCGCAGAAAACAATCTGTTCCTCCCCTGCCTCCTAGGCCAAAGCGGGCCTAGGGACAGGGTACAGCGGGGAGGAGAACTCGGAAGATCAAGCCCCCATTCACTTATTATTGCCACAGATGCACTCTCTGGAGTCTGGGGAAACGAATGCTTGTCGAGGCTCCCCGCCGTTTTGGAGATTGGGCGGGATATTCGTTGTTCCCCGGGCTCGACAGGTGCAAAACGACGAATACCAAGACTTCAGAGTAACGGAGCATAGGATCCGAAGGTGGCAGCAAGATCCCTCCCTGAATCTGTCCCCGGCCCAGTGAGCGCCAGTTTGCTGTCACTAAACGAAATCAAGCCTCGCGTGCGCTCCAGGGCTGACGGGCTCTGGCCCAAACTCGACCACCTGGAGAACTGGTGCCTATGCTCCTCGGAGCCTCACGTCAGCCCTTAAAGCAATTTCTAAAGCGGGGACGGCGAGGGCTCCTCACTGGACCTTTTTGTAAGAGCCTACACCTCGGAGTTGCCCATCGCCGGGACCAAGGCCCTCCCCGCGCGCTTTAGAGAGCGCGGGCACTAGCGGCAGACCCAGAAGAAAGCATGGGGCCAGGGCCTTGGCACGCCCAAATTCTGGGAGCTTCCCACCATAAGGCTCACAGCCTTTGCAGCCGGGTAGGGCCTGGGTGAGGAGGGCAGGCGACGCCTGCTGTCCTGGAGTGCCTGTGATGCCAGGACACGCCGCGTCTGGGGTTTGTGAATTCGCTTCGTCTCGTGGTTTCGGTTTGCATTCTTGCCCTTTCTCGTCCCTCCGCCTGATTTCTCCCTCTCATCCTACTGCGGGTTTACAAACGGGTTTCTTGAGAATGGGGCTCCTGTGGGTCTCAGCCCCTGGCACAGGACCCGGCATATCTGCAATTCTTTGGAGGGAGGTCGCTGCGGCGGGCGCCGGAACCAGGGAACGCAGGCTGTTGGTTTTGGGTCCCCAGCCAGAGGTCGCCGGGCCGCCGGTGCAGGAGCAGTTCCAGAATCTACCGCTAGTTGGCGCCTGCACTCTGCCAGCCGCGGAGTTGCCCGGTCAGCGCTGCACACAGATGTGCGCCAGCTGCCGTGCCCGTGTTCGGAGGCGCAGAGGGCCGCCTCCAAGAGCTGCCCTTTCTGGACAGACGTCCCGCACGATTCCTCACCATTTGTGTGGCTCCGTCTTGGAAAAACCAATGGCTTTGTGTCAGATCGAAGGCTACCCTTCCTGCCCCTTATGGAAGCGGACGCTTTTCTGCTTTGGCATCACCAATACCTGAGGGTCCCTATGCCTTCCTACCCGAAGAACATTCTCCCTGCCAGAAAAGCACAGTCTTCTCCTGTCTAGTTGTGAGGGGCCCGAGGTGAAGAGGATGCACATAAGAACAGATCAGTTTGTTCCCAGACCAGTTCGTTCCCAGTTTCAACCTATGGCCAACCTACTTCCTGCCCGCACAGCACAGACAGGCCTAGAGTCATCACTCTCTCTCTCTCTGTCTCTCTCTTGCTGTTTCAAAGGCAGTTGGACAGCTACCACGCCCCCACCTGGGTGGGGGCAGATAACCCTCTCCATTCCCCATCTTGATGGACAGCCATCTCCTCTTCCACCAGATCCAAGAACAAACAGCTGGCTTTCTCTCAAGTGGCTCCCACCTAAGAGCTCCCCAAGTTGTCTGCAGCAGGGCAAGGAAGAGAGATGTCTGGGCCTGACTTGGCCCAGAGCTGGGTAAAGAGAGACCCAACCTGGGCTGTGCAGAACCTGGGTCCTGGAGGTCACTCCTCTCACCAGTGTCCTTCGCCCCTGGAGGGGATCCATGGGATCAGAATGACCCTGTGCCAGGGCAACCTCCTTTTATCACCCAAGGGTATCTAGGAGTGCACACTAAGTATATTCCTGGTAGTGAGGTTCTGGCAGATGTCTCCCAGAAGGCCAGAGAGCCTCCAAGGGTAGGTCTGATTCCTCAAGAGTCTCAGCACCTGGGGAGAGACAAGGGTCCCCTAAATGAGCTGGACAATGGACATATGCATTCTAGAAGAGTGTCTAAGAGGTCCATTGGTTGTGGAAGGAGCTTGGGTCTACAGTTACATGTCTGAGTCTATCTTCTACCACCCACCGTGGTGAAAATTGCTTAAAGCCTCTCTGAGAGTCTTCTGTAAAGTAAGGATCAGAATAGTAGCTTTATAGAATCCTTTCTAAAGTGCATAGCATGGGCCTGGCACATAGGGGGTGCTCCATCCATGTGAGCTGTCACTGTTGTTATACTGAAAGAATTAAGTCTGATCATTCCTTGTCAGGGGCCTTTGGCAACTCTCTTCCCCTCTGTGGGCCTCACACTTCCCATCTGCGAAATATCCAGTTCTCATGTTCAGAGCTTGCCAGGCCTCAGCACCTAGTCCACGGCCATCCTGTTCCTTTTGGTTCACTTACCGGCTGCCTCGGGGAGGTAAGGACAGTCTGTGGCCTGCCTCCAGGTGGACGTAGTTCACAGGAGGGTCCATCACGCAGCTGCCCAAGCCTGGGTCTCGACACTCCCCTTCTCCTAGGCTTTCAGACCCTCACTGGGGAAGCTCACTGGCCCACACCCCCTCCTTCTGCCCAGGCATACACTTCCCTAAGTGGAACTGGCCTCAGCCAACACTGTCAGCCATCTCCCCCATCTCCAGGAGGCTTCTATTCCCTTTATCCCAAGTCTCACAGGAGCCCCAGTCCAGTGACTAGCACAGAGGACTGTCTTCTAGAAGCTAATGATTTCTCCCAGTCTGGCTTCACACCCCCACTCTAGAGGGACCCTTGGTGAAATCCTCCTGCCTGGTGCCCTGGAACTTAACGTGGGCATTGCCGTCCTTCACTGAGCCTCAGTGTCCTCCTCTGTGAGTGGTCATTTTCTAATTGCTCCGCTTAACAATCTGAAGGATTAAAGACTCTATCTAGGAGGTGAGGGACATTGTTTTTCACCATATCTAAAATGCCATCAATTGTTACATGTGAAAGAAAATACTGCTAACTAAACTAAGACTTGCCTGGCACCCAGATTTCAGATATATCTATTTAATAATATATATTACACACACACATATATATATAAAGTTAGTGAGAAAGGAGCATGGAAAGCAGTTGTTCATGAAAAGCATGAAAAAGATTGTTGCTTGTAATTTTGGAGGTCCTCACCCCAAGAATCTGGCTCTGGGGCCACCCCTCCTGGGCAGCCTCTCTGGACAGCTCCTGAATGTGCAAGACAAATGAACTTCTCAAAGAGTTTTTTTGTTTTTGTTTTAACTTTTTTTGGAATGGGCCAGACTCCAAGGGTGGGAGGGAGAGGGAGGCTGGGGCAAGCTCTGTGGTTAGGACACAGCTATGGACTCTGCCATTGACTGATAAAAATTTGACCTGGCTGGTGAAATGGGAAGAACAGTAACAGCCACATTTGCTGAAATGCTACCCTGTCCAGACACTG